AATATAAACTCTTTTGCCAATATGAGTTCTAGTAATAATTTCAGCATCAAGAACATGCTGATTAACATGTTTAATTATTAATCTGGTACAATTACAAAGTCCATCAACTGGACTTATATTTCTTAAAAGAATGACAGGAGTTCCAAATTTTAGTACCAGTTTATGAGGAGGAGTTCCACTTGGAGTAAGTGGTTAAAAGCAGCTCAGTGCAAATATTGATTCAAACTTATAAGTTATAGAGATTATTTTAGTTAAAAATAGCAACAAAACTTAGAATTTCAAATATTCAGGGACTAGAGAATACAATACAATCTTTTAATTGAGACTCTAAAAAATATATCAAATGGAAAAAACAAACATAAACTACAATTTCTTCATACATACCAAAAATATTATTTAAATTTAGAGTATTCTCAGGAAACCTTAATGAAGAATATACAAGACAAGCCGCCAACTATCAAATAGCAGATATAAATGCAAACCAAAAAAATTTTGCAATACTTCTTTATGAAGAGCAATAATAGCAAAAGTATCTACCAAATTATTTGATGTAGCATTAAACATTAATGAAAAAAATAAGGATAAAGCCTTAAGCTAGTTTAAATCAAATATTAATGATCAAGATGACATTAAAAACACTCTACCAGATAATAGTAGGTATTCTCTTGCAAGTAACTATGACTATGCTAAAGCAGAACATAATGCAGAAGCAGCATTAACAGCATGCAGAATACCTATAGCAGCTTATAACCAAAAAGGATAGAGAGAAATTCTTGATAAAGCAACCAAATTAGGAAAATGAATTAGCATTTTCTAAATATAGAAGCACTTATAAAAAATTGATGCAGATCTTTAGATATTGATTTCATGATAACTTTAAGTCAGAAGAATTAAAACAAGAATGTCTATAGAAATACAAAGAGTAATTCATCATGCTAACCCAACAACTTTACAAGAATTCTGGGATGCTAAAGAAAGAGTATTCTAAGCAGAAAGGCACATAATGCTCTAAAGCAGAAAAATTAACTTAAGCAAATACAAAATTTATAAAAAAAGAATGATATTCTTAAAAAAAAGTCTCAATAAAAAATATTAATACTTTACAAAATGATAAACTTAAAGGAAATTGCTTTAAATATGAAAAACAAGAATGTTTTGCCAGAAATTGCTACTCAAATACTAAAAAAGACTGCTTTAACAATGTCAATAATTGAAAACTCAAAAAGAAAAGATTTTGCTCACAATATAGAAAACTATACCCAAGACATTACCCAGGATGTTCTCGAAATAGCACAACACATATAAATAGAAAAAAAGTAAGAAAAAGAACAGTACTAATAGAAATAGGAAGATTCAAGAAAGGAAACTCTTCAAAGAAACTCTATAACAAAGGAAAAGGAAAACCATATAGAGAGAAATTTGCTAAAAAGAAATTTCAACATTACAAGGGAAATAAGAAAGAAAGCGAAGACAAATACTATTCAGAATTTGAAGAAAAACTGAAGAAGAATCTGATAATGAAGAAATTATAACTACAAACAACCTTTATAAAACTATTTAGAAGAAAGTTAATTCTTTTGAATAGGGGCCTCATCTAGTGTTCAAGAGAAAACTCTAAAGAAACTTTCTAAAGGCTATACTAGAGAGAACATAAATACTATTAGTATTACCAAAATACAAAATATTAATAATATCAAATGTATTAACTCTAAAATACTTAATAAAGATCCTATTATTTACCAAAAGTATAAAAAGTTCTTTGCCAAATCTACAAATAAAGAAATGATAAAAAAAGTGTTCAAACAAAATAAGTATAACTATCTTCTTAAAAACTACAAATTTCCAAAAGACACTAAATGGCAAAATCTTAGACCAAAAAGAAAAAAGCAATACCAAATCATAGCATTATTAAATAACAAACTAATACTAGTATTACTAGATAAAGGAGCAAGTGCAAATATCATAGGATCAGACATGGCAGAAGAATTAGGATTACTAGAAAAAATAGATACTATGAAAAAATTAACTGCTATTCTACTAGGAGGACAAATGATAGAAAATCTTGGACAAGTGAAAGCAATATTCTAAGTAGAAGATATTAAAGCAACTCTTAAAATATTAATTCTTGAAGAAGATCAAGCATATATGCTCTTATCAGAAGTAGATCAAGATAAATTAAACATTATAAAAGATCAAAATAATAAAATAACTCAAATAAACAATAAACCAATATTATATCAAGATATTCTCTCAAACCAATCACAAGGGTTATTAGAATTAAATCTTAACTCTGTTTCAGAAAACCTCTCTTCTACCTTGAAAAAAGAAGAGTCAACCCCAGTATCACGTGATATTAATACAGGTACATCCACAACTATCACACCTAGTTACCTCACTCAAAAGGCTAGTAATATACCAATTGAAATCAAGAAAAAACCCGGTGAAGGCCCCAACATGGTGAACAAAAAATAATTCCCCATACTCTACTAAATTCGAGCTCAAACTAACTAAAATTAGTAAAAGAAAAACCCTTAAAGATACTAAAATTAACAAGAAAATATTAAAAGAATATTTACATGCTATTAAAAGGTACTCTTAATATAAATCTAACAAAAATATCTAAAAACTATCAACAGGAAATTCTAAAAATAATCAAATCAATTAACTAACTGAAAAATACAGACCCAAAGAAAATCAAAAGTTTATTAAAAGTATATTACCTCAAACTTTTGAAAAACAACTTAGAGAATTAAAATAACAAGTTTCTTTAAATAAGCAATGAAAAAAACTCATAGGAATAACAACGGATAAGATATGGACAGAAATAGTATCTATAGCTATATTGATGCAATCAAATATCCTTTAGATATTCCCATAGTATCAAGAATTAGAAGATACTCCAAAATATGAAGCATTAAAAATGGCAATACATGACGAAAAAGCAGATAAAGAAATAATAGAAGGAAATAGAAACATAGAATTAAAAATGGTACTATATACAATACTTGAACTATACATTAATAATCAACTATATAGAAAAAATAAAGTAAACTAAAAAATAAAAAGAATTATAGAAGAATATGCATGTGTATAAGAGATGAATATAAGATGAGCAGTCCTAGATTTTGGAACAAAAGACAAATGACAACAATCAGACATGATCGATAATGTCAACTATATACTAAAAAAGATACAACCAATGAAGATAGGAATCTTATTGGAAAATAGTGTATCTAACAACTGTTTTGGTATAATAGTTGCTGTCCTCATAGATATATTGAATAATATAAAACAAGAGTTAAGATTTAAAGATAAAAAAAAAAGAAAGCAAATAGGAATTTGCTTTGACACATAGCATTTCTATGCTGCAGGATGTAAAAAAACAGTATATGAATTTAGAAATATACTATATATATCTGAAAAAGAAATAATGTTAATACATATTAATAATAGTCTACCAGAATATATATTTGGAAAAGAAATAAATAAGTATGTACACTTAATGAATCCAACCAGTACCATATCACAAGAAGTCTATCAAATAATAGCTCAGCACAAAGAGGTCTGTACAATGATATTAGAAATACCAAGTATAGAACAACAAGATTAATTAGCACAAGTATAGTAAGTACAAAAAACTTAGAGAATACAATTAGATCTCTATATAATTACCAAGTTGGGTGTGCCCTATTTCATGATTATAAAGAGGTGTGACTGTAAACCTTAAACCTCTACATAATCACTATTATATGAAAAACTGTATATAGGTGATTATAAATTTATACCATAATTTATAACTATAAAATATTTATTAATATATTATAAGATAGCTGTGTGGTGCAGTTACACTAAAACCAGAAATGTAGATAATAATTTTGTAAAAGCTATTTCATTAGCACATTATAAAGCTTTTTTATTAGATATAATTTCAGAGAAAATAAACTAATTTTTTATGCATATTGCTGTGAAATAGAAAGGCTTTGCATTATAATTTTGCCAATTTAACTTAGTCTATAAACAATGTATAGTAATTTAGAAATTATAAATCATTAAAAATGTTTAGCTATTATGCACTCATAATAAAAAGACTGCTCAATATATAAGTATTAAGGCAACATTTGTCTTGAATTAGTAATCAGCTGATCGAATATGCGACAGGCCTGGTTATAGTCTATATAGTGATTTGAACTAAGAAAAAATTTCTTAATTGGTTAACCAAACTGAAATATTTGATATCAACTGATTACAACAGGCTAAGATCAAAATTCTATTTCATATGCTTTACTTTCAGAAATTCTTGGAATATTTCTCAAATTTTTGTTATGATCTTACTCATTCTTTTATATTTATTCATTTTCTTTTCAGAACTTTTTGGGTCTTTTGCTCTCTTTAGATGTTATCTACATGTTATATTAATCCTGTCAACTGGTCATTCAGTTGTACAGGTGAACTTATTAAGAATTTATTCAACTGGCTAATCAAAATCTAATTGGTTTAGATTAGTTAACTGATTATAGCCCAACTGGTTCAAATCACTAGATCCATATTTGATTGAGCAAGCGAGCAAAAGTATGAAGTAATTAGTAATTAGATCATTTGGTAAAAATATGATTGACCTTATTTAATTGTTAAGCAATAGCATAAGTATTTTGTAATAACAATGGTTATTATGTGAATTTAATTCTGTTATTTCTGCAAATTTGACTTTTTCAAGTTATATTGTTTCCTCTTCTCTATCTATTAGTTATATTTTGGGCAATTGAATAAAGAAACGTATTAGTTGCTATATGGCCAATATGTTTATCGCACTTTCCTAGTGTCATGGTCTTTCCGTAATCTATCTATTTTTTTTTTATATTCAATTTCATTTCTTTTCTTTCATTATTTTGATTGTCCCGGGCTTAGTTCAAATTTATAATTGTTGAAACCTGTTGGGGATATGTCCACAGATTTGCACTATCCAAATTAAAAATAGTAATAGAATCTGTGCAAATTATAGTAAAATATGTCAGTATATGAACAGATGGTAGTGGTATCGGGAACAAAGTGAAATTGCTCTACTTATCATCATACATAAAATGTCTTGATTCGTTTAATAAGGCCAAATTTTATAATATTTAGAAAGTAAGAACAGGAGGATATGTTGATGTTATACAACTAATTTTACACATAATATGCAATATATAAAAAAATTATTTTATAATACTTGATCAGTCTTGATCAGTCTGCTTGTACATGTTATGATTATAATCCCACACCATTTTATTATATTAAAAATAGTGTGGGATTATAATTATAATATGTACAAGTGAACTGATCAAGACTGATCAAGTATTGTAAAATAATTTTTTTATGTATTGCATACCATGCATAAAATCAGTTGTGTAATATCAACATTTTCTTCTGCTAGAAGTATGCAGTTTTGGCTGAAGAGTCATAGGTGTGAGGTTTCACCTGTTTATTATTAACTTTGTTACTGTTTTGTTTAAGTCTAGACCTCTTTATTATTGTATTTCATGAAGTTGTACTGCTGAATATTGCTCATAACTAAGGAGCCAAATCAATACGTATCTGTGACTATTCATATTGTTTATAATATGTAATAAAGTACTGTACTATATATGCAATTATGGCATTTATTTTATAAGTATAATAACCTACATTTACAAAACTATGAGTTATTTTGTAATTATTGTAACATACAATTAATTTATTTAATATTTGTTTTAAAACAAAAAACAATATAAAACTGATAAAATATTGTATATATTTTAAAAACATCTATAATAATCAGTGATCTGATCAATAAAAAAATATTCATAAAAAAAATCAGGACGAAGAAAAATGATATTGTGATTACTTAAAAAAAAAAAATCATAAAAAACTCCTTAAAAATTTATCTACACATGAGAGTGGTGCTAATACTACTAGGGTGACTAAGATTAACTAATACCAAACACTAAACTATAACAACAAGCAAGTCTCAAACCCTAAAAAGACAAACTATATAGATTGACTTGATCTGAGTATTAAGGTTTGAGTCTTGTTGCGACAACTGTAGAATAAGTAAGTTACTGTAGATAAGTGCTTATTATATAATTTAGTTCATATCAAATATTT